CTATAGGCCGAGGGAGCCGGCGTTTGTCCACAGACAGCTTCCGGGTCATGTGGCCAGCATGACTAAGCCGCTTCTGGCAAACCAGAGCAGCACACGGAAACGCCGTTTACCTTCCCGCCGGAGCGGTCCCTATTTATCTACTTGCACTCTGATGTGCTTTCGAACTGCTAGGTTGGCAGGAGCAGGGACCGAGCAATGGGAGCTCACCCCGTCACGGGGATTCGAACCGACAACCTTCTAATTGGGAAGTCCTAGGCTCTGTGGTTTAACCTACAGTGCCACCCGCATCCCTTTGTACTGTTGCTAGTCAGCATCTTATCTAACTACATTATTGTTGAAAATGGGCTGAAATAAAATATGAAAGGCTTTATTTATTACATTTTTTTATATCCCATGTTTCAGGATGCATATCCATCAAGGGTAGCTTATAAAAAAAAATATGAAACTTCATTTAAGCACACATGCACATTCTTAAGCAATATCAACAACAATAATAATAATAATAATAAATTTTATTTATATCCCGCCCTCCCCAGCCGAAGCCGGGCTCAGGGCGGCTAACAACAATCAAATAATCAAACAGTCAAATAATCACACATTCTAAAAATATTTCATTATAAAAATTAATTGATGGCAACCGATTAAGCAAAATTCTGTGCAGGTTGCCAGAGGAGGGAGTCAGGCTGCGCCCTGACCAAAGGCCTGGTGGAACAACTCTGTCTTGCAGGCCATGTGGAAAGATGTCAGGTCCCGCAGGGCCCTAGTCTCTTGTGACAGAGCATTCCACCAGATTGGAGCCGCAGCCGAGAAAGCCCTGGCTCTAGTTGAGGCCAGCCTAACCTCTCTGTGGCCTGGGACCTTGAGGATGTTATTATTTGCAGACCATAGGTTTCTCTGTGGGGCATAACAGGAGAGGCGGTCCCGTAGGTACGAGGGTCCTAGGCCGTATAGGGCTTTAAAGGTTAAAACCAGCACCTTAAACCTGATCCTGTACTCCACCGGGAGCCAGTGCAGCTGGTATAGTACCGGATGAATGTGACCTCGCAGCGAAGACCCCATAAGGAGTCTCGCCGCGGCATTCTGCACCCGCTGGAGTTTCTGGGTCAGTCTCAAGGGCAGCCCCACGTAGAGCGAGTTACAATAATCCAGTCTGGAGGTGACCGTCGCATGGATCACAGTGGCTAGGTCAGGGCGAGAGAGATAAGGGGCCAACTGCTTAGCTTGGCGGAGATGAAAAAATGCCGCCTTTGTTATAGCTGTAATCTGCGCCTCCATAGAGAGGGAGGTATCGAAGATTACACCCAAACTCTTAACGGACGGTGCTGGCACTAATTGCACCCCCGCAAGAGATGGGAGTTGCCCCCTCGATCCCATATCGTCCCGCCCCAGCCAGAGGACCTCTGTCTTCGAGGGATTTAACTTCAACCGGCTCCCACGTAACCATCCAGCCACAGCTTCCAGACATCTGGTCAGTGTGTCTGGGGCCGAGTCAGGATGGCCATCCATCAACAGATAGAGTTGGGTGTCATCAGCATACTGATGGCAACCCAGCCCAAAACTCCAAGCTGGGCGAGGGGGCGCATAAACAACATATGCAAAGCCATTGGGATGATTCCCATAGTACAGCTGCTGTGGTGGTGAAGTCCAACTGGACAGATGGTCTTTGCCTATGACCCTCCCTCTCCTGGAATCCTTCCTGCAAGACTAATTGATGATTCAGTGGTCCTAGGGAGAAGTCCAGCTTAACCAATGTGTACAAGCAGAAATAACAATATAGGCTACATATATATCAATGGGGCACAGGCATAGAATGTAGAGCTTTGTTTGGGATGAGTTGCACTTTGCTGATCTAGGTGGCACCTGACCTCTCTTACAATAGCAAGTAAGAGAAATCCGGTCAGTTTCATACTTCAAAAATAAACAGGAAAAAAACTGCTTTCCAACGACAGTAGTTCAAATGTGTAGAAGCCACGCTTTAATACCAGGTGTTTAAGGCTGAGCACCATTTTGTTTGTGGATTTTAATATATTTGAATACTTCGCATCAGCACTTCTTTGAGGGCGTTGAAGCTCGTGTGGCGCAAGGTGTGAGAGAAGAGGAAGTGAGCTACCAGCTGGCGTTCAATAAACAGGAGCTAAGAAAAGTTATAAAGGAGTATCCCGGCAAGGAAGTGAAAAAGGGGTTGGACAACCTTTATAAGAAGGTGGATAAACACTTGTGTGAAGAGGAAAACCTACTTCAGGTAATATAATGGGTATTAAGAGTGTGTATAAACCTAGTGAATGCTGTGTAAATGTTTTTGCTGTTCTTGGTTTGTCTCTTGTTTAAGGTAGAACATCACGTTTGAGGTAGAAAATGTCTCGCAGTAAAAGGATGTAGATCATAGAACTGCATCCAGATAAAGGGTGAAGCGGGGAGGAAAACATTTGAGGAAGTGCAGTGTGCATTCTGCCTTATAGGCCACAGGGAAGACACAATAACCAGGTTAATTTATATGACTGTTGCATTTATATCCCACATTTCCATTTGTGCGGGGGGGGGGGGGAATGCTCAAGGCACCTAACAGCAATAAAAGCAACAACAGAAAATCCACATTGACAGAAGAAGGAAGGAAGACTGTGCTTGGGCTATGTCACTTGCTGAGGCTCACATGATGGAATACTTCAGTGTCCCTTTCTACATAGGAAGCTTGTATGCCAAAGAGAAACATTCTAGCCTTGTTTTCTCTTTCACTTGCTAGAGTTGTAAATGGGGGGGGGATGTTTTGAAGAGTTGATTGAACCTCCACCTATACTCTGAAGTAAAGAAGCCTTTAGGATGTTGCTTTCTTATTGGTACAATTGTAAACAGACTCCTGAGCAAATTACTGACTAGGATTGTGATGGTGTCGGTGGGCTTTCCTGTCTCCTGGTTGTTGCATGTGAAGGCATATACAAGTACATATCCTGGCAAAAGCTGAGCAGGGAGAAGGTTCATCCTGCTGCTTTTGATGGATGTGTGCAAGGAATTGACTCTTACCCATCTGTATTGCCTTGCCTCTCCATAGCAACAGCAACTCCACTGTCCTCCTAAAAAAGGTAAAGGTACCCCCCTGCCTGTACGAGCCAGTCTTGACAGACTCTAGGGTTGTGCGCTCATCTCACTCTAGAGGCCGGGAGCCGGCGCTGTCCGCAGACACTTCCGGGTCACATGGCCAGTGTGACATTGCTGCTCTGGCGAGCCTGCACCAGTGCAGCACACGGAACGCCGTTTACCTTCCCGCTATAAAGCGGTACCTATTTATCTACTTGCACCCGGGGGTGCTTTCGAACTGCTAGGTGGGCAGGCGCTGGGACCGAAAGACGGGAGTTCACCCCACCGCGGAGATTCAAACCGCCGACCATATGATCGGCAAGTCCTAGGCACTGTGGTTTTACCCACAGCGCCACCCGCGTCCCTACTGTCCTCCTAGGTCCTAGGAAAAGGGAGATGGCAGAAGAGACAGTGCCGAGATACCAAACCATAGAGCTAAATGTTGGAAATGGCTCCACACACAAATTTCCTTGGAAGGTGCAGAGCTGTCCTCAACAGTGAAGTCAGTCAGCAGGACAGGCCTTTGGTGATACGGATTAGTAACCATGGATAATATTTACATTACTGAAATTATGCTTTTCTGCTTTTTTTGGTAGGTGGTGTGGCATTCTATGCAAGATGAGTTCATACGCCAGTACAAGCATTTTGAGGGCTTAATAGCACGCTGTTATCCTGGATCTGGAATTACTATGGAGTTCACTATCCAAGACATTTTAGACTACTTCTCCAGCATTGCACAGTCTCACTAATATCTGCCAAGGGTTAAAGCAAGATAAACTAATGAATTTGCTGGGAAGAATCTTTTAGCACTGAAGACTTGTTACTTTGTGAGATGGAATTTTGAGGAATGTCCTTAATTATCTTTATGCCCATCATTGATGGCCTGAGGGGAAATGTTGCTTACTTACTGTATAGAAACAGTGTTAAAGCATACTTTTTCACATGTAACACAGTCTGGCTTGTTTTATTTTCCATGTTGATATATTAGCCTTGTATAATTTATAGTACATTAGATACTCAACTCTTTGGCTTTCCTGTAGCTTCCAGTAATTATGTTAAAGTATTAAAATTATTGTACAAGGCTGAAGGGGTTTCTGCATCAAAATGTATTAATATATGGATTGATGGAACTTGCACGCATGCTTTCAAGAATCTATTTACATGACTTTATGGTTGAAATTCTTCTGATCCAACATAAAAATAATGTTTACAAAGGAGTTCCTTGTATTTATTTCCCTATCCCATGACATGCATTACACAAAAGGAAAAATTGCCAGTCAACTGAGGGATCCAGATACTATATTTAAGTTATGTGTTTTTACTTTTTACATGCATACATTAGTTAAAGCTTCCTTGTAAACACTGAGCTAACTCTTTGATTCTAAAGACTAAAACTTTAAATTGGCTGAGTTTATCACATTGATGAAGAAAACAGCAAAATAGCTGGAGAAAAAGCCTGTCTGAATCTGTTTTTCTGCCTAAGCTCAGGAAGAACTTCTGCCCTTATGGTTGTACACCTGGATTGCAGAAGAAATGGATTGCTAAAAGGAGTTTTGAACGAGATACTGAAACAATATTTATATCCCTACTTGCAGCACTTGAGGTGGCTAATGCAATATGCAAGTCGTACAGATAAAATAAGTGATGCTGCAGTGAAAATAGTTTTGATTGCATTTTTAGCATTTAAGTACACAGTCTCGGTTTTTTCCTTAATGCTTTTGCTGTTCTGGGATGCTGGCATTAACAATCCAGTGCAGATTACTATTTATTCCGTTTAAGCAGAATGAGAGAATTAGGTTCTACAGTAGTTTCCAGAGCGCATCCTGGCCGGGCGAGTGACCCTTCAAAAGGCTCTCCAAACCTGCCCTCCCAGCCTCAGCCGCCAGAGGCCGCTGCGGCAGCGCGCGGCGGAGCCCCGGCTCGTCCGTTAAAAGGTTCCCCAGAGCGCGCTCGCAGAGCCGTTGCTGGGGGCGACGCCGGGCGGAAGAGGAGCGGCGGCGGACGCTTCGCGCGCCATTTTCAAACGGCCGCCTCGGCCCACACCGCCGCTCCAACTTCCTGGGAGGCTTTTTTTGTGTGAAGAAAGGCGGGGGAGAAAGAAGCGAAGGTAGAGTAGCCCGAGACCCAGGAGGGCCCCCCCCCCGAGGGCGAGCGGTGGGGGAAGAGCCAGGCCGCGGGTTTAACGGCCCTCGGCGGCGAGGCCGAGATTTATTAGAGAGGCCTCCACCGAGGGCCCGTTTCCATGGTGACGGCGGGGCGGTGACGTCACCGCGAAGGGAGCAGCCCTTTCAGCTGCTGTGACGCTTCCTGGGGCCTTGAGGAAAGCGCCGGCGCCCTCGTCCTCCGCAATCACAGCGCGACCGCTTCGGGTTCCTTGTCGCGGCTCTGGCCAGACCCTCCTCCCCCCCCGTCCGACAATCGCTGCTTCATGTTTAGTCCCCTCTTCGCCGCCCCCTTGGGTTGACCCTCCCGCCCAGTCGCACCTCCCTCCCCTTTGCTCCCTTCACTGCGATCCCTATGTCTCTGCAGCTGCTCACCGCAGCCTCGCCTCTCTCCCACGTCATTGCTCTTCTGCTTGCTTCTTGACCCGTCCATATATCTCTTTTTCCTCGAAATCCTTTCTGTAGAACAGTTGCTCTCAAAAAACAACAGCACACACCCCGCTGTTGTATGCAGAGGTGTGTGTGATCTGTCATGTATGCTTTAGTTGCCATTCCTTGCATTGCACGGGGTTGGACTAGATGACCCTCAGGATCCCTTCCAACCCTACGATTCTATTATTCTGTTGTGTATATAGATATATCTCCCTCACACACTTATATGTGCTCCACGGAGTTCAGGCTGGCATACGTGATATCCATGCTCCCAGACTTTATCCTCACAACAGCCCTATGAGGTAGGTCAATCTGAGAGACAATGGCTGGCCCCCGATGCAACCGGTTTTGTTGCACTGGGCGCAGAGCCTCGGGGGATGCTGCAACTATGATGTAGAATGGAAGGCAAGAGGCAGGGGGCCCCTCAGTTTTGGCATCGCAAAATGAAACCCCATGCACAGTGCTTATTCTTCAACTCCTTTTGTGTAGAAGTCGCTAGTGTGTGTTCTGAAATGGCACTGGATTGTGGTTGACTGGTTGCACCTCATGCGATGCCCTGGCTACATCTTATTTATGAACTCTAACCAGTTGTTGGTTTCTAATCTGATATTTCAGGGACACTCCAATTTGCCTCCATACTCTTCTATTTCACCCTCTTCCTGGTAAAAAGTAATGCCTCAGCTGCCAGAATACCATGCTAACTTGTATCAGGTCATGACCAAGTGCCAGAAAGCAAGAAGCTTGGTCTTGCATGTTCATGTTGTAATGGTGTAAGCTAACATGTGCTTAAATTATTTGCAGGTCCCATTTTTTCACAAAAGACAGTTCAAAAATATCTTCACAATGAGCACAGCTGCAGAACGAAAGTTCATTAATCTAAGGAAGCGGTTGGATCAGCTGGGTTATCGACAACCATTAGGAGTGGAGAGTTTGCCTTTGGTGGAAAAGCTTTTTAGGTATCAAAACAAAAGGGAATAGCAAAATGTACTCATAGGTGCTATTGGATTGATATTTGCTGTTTGACTACATTACACTAGTGGTGAAAGTTAGTCTTCTGTGAAATGCATTGAGATGGCTTTGTCAAAGCAAATATCCTATCTTAATACTGAAATGTAATTTAAAGTAATCTTTTGTAACCCCACTGTACACAATCTAGAGACATCAGTTTCAAATTTTACTAGAATGTATCATAATTTACTTTTAAAAGCATGCCTAAAATTAGCTGCAATAAGCAACTGTTTTAGAACAGAGGTCTGAGTGCAGTGCATAGAAAAATCTGTAACAGGAACATTCCTGTGACATAAGGGAACCCTGGTGTACAGTATTAAATGTCCTAGCCAATAAAAATAGGGTTTAATTTGAACAAATTAATCAGCTTAAAGAATGGTGTTCCTGTAAGCAGCATTCATCCTGAAAAAACAAATGTTTGCTTTCATTCATAAATGGGATGTCATGTATATGCAGCCACAAAGTCAGGGTAAATTCTGCCAACCAAATGTTGCACATTAATCTTAGAAATGCTGCCTGCTTGCCTCCTCCTTCTTTAATGTGTGTACAAGTAAATCCCATTTTGATTTTAATGAAAACTTGGCCATTTAAGGAAGGTTAAGATTGTAGTCCATAGACATAGGGAAATAGATGAAATGTTCTATTTTAAATCTGGTTGGCTAGTACACCAAGCCAAAATCTGCCTCTATTCTGGCCTAGGGGGTGACTGGAGCAGGGTATTTATACAAAATACTAGTTTTGGCCATTATAGGATTCATCTCTCAAGCCTGGAAATTTGTTTTCCTTCCATTTCAGTGACCTTGTTCATACAACTGAGAGCCTCCGGAGTGCTAAGCTATCTGCTGGAAAACTTGAAAAAGAATACAGCAACTTTGACGTTGTTCTAGAACCTTATCGAGAAGAAAATGCTAGGCTCACCCGTGAAAACAATGAACTACATTTAGAAATTCTGAAACTGAAAGAACAATTGGAAAAGCAGGTCAAAGGTAATATTGAAAACCTAACCGATTATTTGTCTCTTAGAAAAGGGGGCAACAAATTTTGACTATCATTGTTAGTTAGCCAAAACTTGTGGTTGCCGTTGATCCCACAAGTCTTTCCTCTAATACGTTTGGTGGTAGCACTATACCCTTCGTGGTAAATTTTGGAAGCACTTGCGCTGGTGACACAACAGGAAGATGGAATCTGCAAAAATCACCTTACCTTTTATCTTTGTGGATCTCTCCATTACATCAAAAGCAGAATGGCAGCATTGAATGCCACCCAAAGATTATGTTTCTTGATGTAGTGGTGGACTGGATAAGGGCCAATAAACTGTCTGAATCCTGGGAAGACAGAAGCTCTTTGGGAATCTCCCTCTGAAGGAGCAAGTGCATAGTTTGGGGGCATTCCCAGATGCATCTTTGTCACTAGGGGCCCTGTTGTCCTCTGTGGCTAGTTGTGCCTTCTGCCAGCTTCATCTGGTTTGCTAACAGCCATTCCTGGACAGGGATAGCCTGACCACTATAGTCCATTGGTAATCTCAAAGCTACTGTAATGCACTATATGTGGGGCTGTCCTTGGGTCTGATTCAGCCGGTGCAGAATGCTGCAGCCAGATCACTGGCGGGAGTGACACCATTGTTAAAACAGCTGCACTGGTTGCCCATCTGCTACCAAGCCATCTGGTTCTTTTATTGATTTACAAAGCCCAAAGCAACTTGAGTCCAGGGCACCTCAGGGATCACCTGAATCCTTATCAGCTTGATCACTGAGATCATCTGCAGGAACATCTTTGGTTGGTCCCCAAGTAGGTGAAACCTAGCCTTTAGTGCAGGCTTCCTCAAACTCGGCCCTCCAGATGTTTTTGGCCTACAACTCCCATGATCCCTAGCTAGCAGGACCAGTGGTCAGGGATGATGGGAATTGTAGTCTCAGAACATCTGGAGGGCCAAGTTTGAGGAAGCCTGCTTTAGTGTCATCAGCCTAGTCCTGTGGAACACCCTACCAATAGAGATTCAATAGACACCTTCTGTGCCAACGTTTAAATGTCCACTGAAAAAAAATTTCTGTTCTGCCAGGCCTATGCAGGCCACAGTGGTCTATTGATGTTATAAATTTCTTTTTGCTTGTTTTTAACTTTTAAAGATTTTCTTGGTTTTACATTTTTATATTGTTGTGAACTGCTATGATACATCTATGACACAGCAGTATATGAATATTTTTATAAATAAATACATAAAGTTTCAAACCACAGCATGCCAGTGTTCTCCCTGAGAAGCTATGATACTAAGAGTCAGGGAAATGAGAAATAGTTTAACTGATTCTTAAGGCTGCTTCAAGCAATATTTCATTGTAAAATGTCTTCTTAATGTTGTACACCGCCCTGGGATCTTCTGATAAAAGGTGGTATATAAATTGAATAAATAATAATAATAAACAATAATACTTGAATACGATCCAAAAAACTGGTCTAAGTTTGAAGTGCACAAATGTGTGTGTTTGGCCACATAATTTTAAACTACAGTTAAGTAGCTCTATTGCAGTGATTGCAAACACACACACTGTGATGGGTTTTACCATCTAATTGTAGAGTTAGAAGGGACCCAAAGGGTCATCTAGTCCAACCCCCTGCAATGCAGGAATACCATGAATATCTCTACTTGTTAGGGTTTTAGTCTTGCTTTAAATGGATCTGTTGTTTTTGTGGTTTTAACTGTTTTTAATTATCTCATGTGTAAATCACCTTGAGATGATTGTTTAGGAAGTGGTTGTTGTCATCATGTTTTTAAAAGAGACAAGCAACTAAAAACATGTTCAGGCAAACTGAGACTTGCAGCACATGTGCGCATTAGCACCTGGAGATAGAAGAAAAAATATTGAGCTGTTTTTTATTCGTAGTATGCAGGTAGAATAAAAAGGAAGAATACTGTTGAATTTTTTTTCTTCCTTAAAGGTTTGAAAACTACACTGAGGAAAGTTGAACATGAGAATGCAGATATGAAATTTTTGAATAACCAGTATATACATAAAATTAGATTGTTAGAGAAAGAGAACAAAGCCAAGACTGACAAGATCCAGCAACTCCAAGAAAAAAATCTGCAAGCAGTGGTTCAGACACCAGGTACGCTATCAGATTATGTGCTCATCATGCTACCTCTTCTCTTACTAGGCTGCACTTTTGCACCCTGTTTTGGTACTTTAGTACATTTGGTTTTAGTGGGACTTTAGCAAATGTCAAAATCGGGGAAAAATTCACCACAAGCCATGGATGCAGATTCTGCACTAATAATTGCTGCAGAACCTCAGTTATCAAACTCCCTTTAGAGAGGTTTGGTTTTCTCCCCCTATTTTAAGCTTTAGATGAGCTGCTATAACTTTATTTCACTGAGAATTTTGTGCAGATTAAATAACTGTCTCCTTGTTTTTATGCTGATTTGTTTTTTCATTATTTTGCTTTATTTTATTAAACTGATTTTAATAATTTTGACTGTGCATTGTATTTATTTTGTTAACAGATTAAAACCACTATTTTATTTTATAAAGTAAATCAAGGCATACTTTCTAGAAAAATAAATAGACATTACTTACTTTCTTTGGGATAGAAGTCAGTTTCACGTATCTATCCCTTCCCTAATTAAAATTGTTGGGGAAGCCCACAAGGTGATGGCCAATGTGACCAATGGCCACTGGTGCCTACAAGAAATTGCCATATTACAACACATGTTGTGGATAAAACATAATCTCTCAGAGCTCTATGAGCATTTAGTAAAGATTTGCCTCTGTGCTCTCAGGCTGAGATAGTACTGTCTTTATTCTTAGGGCATTATATGCAAAATCTAGACTTTTATAGCCACACTAAAAGTGTTGGATGGAGACTCACAGCCCAATCACAAGCATGTTTATTCAGTACCACTGAGTACAATGGGGTTTAGGATACATACATAGGAATTGTAGAATTTACTTGATTTTAGGCAATAATCCTAACCCCACTTACTGTTAGTTATATGCATTTACTGTTGAATTAGATGTCTGAGCAGTCATGGTTATGATTGCACTGTTATTTCCCATTGAAATCAATGAAGGACAGATTTACACTATTTTACACTTGCAAACACAGTAATATAATGAAATTGATGCATGCTCTTAGTCTTTGAGAGCTTTAATGTAGTTTTATGTCTATATAGCATGTAGATTTCATTTAAGCTTCATTTAATGAACATTTTGTTAAATGTATTCTTTGCCACTCATATAATTAGCTACTGCTTAAAAGTATTATTCCAGTAACAAAGGAATTTCTTTGGTTCTTCAATATAAAGAAGAACTCTGGGGACTGTTTAATTCTTAGTAATATGCATTTATCTTTGTAGGTGGTAGGAAAAGAAATATTCCGTTTAGGCGTCAGCGTATGCAGATAGACCAGCCAGTCCCTCCCTCAGGAATCGGTGCTTATCCAATTCCTCAGCCAGATGACCCATATATTGCAGATCTTCTTCAAGTGGCTGACAACAGGTGATTAATGGTCTTTTAAAATCTTGACATACTAGTAATGCCATCCTGACATCTCCCTCCAGTCTTCCATGAATGAGAATTAGTCTCTAACCCTTCCCCTCCCACTTCTGTGGGAGAAAATGTTTGGGAAGAATTACTTAGTTCTTTAATCGCCGTTTATGTTTCCGATTGTCAAAATGACAAGAAATCAAAAGTTACTATGGCATTCATTGTACATTTTTAAAAACCAGAACAGTTTACGTATTGCACTTTGGCCTTCCTTTGGACATCTAATAATAATAATAATAATAATAATAATAATAATAATAATAATAATTTATTATTTATTATTTATACCCCGCCCATCTGGCTGGGCCTCCCCAGCCACTCTGGGCGGCTTCCATAAAAACCAAAAATACAGTAAAATATCACACGTTAAAAACTTCCCTGAACAGGGCTGCCTTAAGATGTCTTCTGAATGTCAGGTAGTTGTTTATCACTTTGACATCTGCTGGAAGGGCGTTCCACAGGGCGGGCGCCACTACCGAGAAGGCCCTCTGCCTGGTTCCCTGTAGCTTTGCTTCTCGCAATGAGGGAACCGCCAGAAGGCCCTCGGCGCTGGACCTCAGCGTCCGGGCAGAATGATGGGGGTGGAGACGCTCCTTCAGGTATACTGGACCGAGGCCATTTAGGGCTTTAAAGGTCAGCACCAACACTTTGAATTGTGCTCGGAAACGTACTGGGAGCCAATGTAGGTCTTTCAAGACTGGTGTTATATGGTCTCTTCACTATGATCATAAAACAAGGGATTAGCAATGTTTTAACAACGTAAGGTTAAAAAGTTCAGTATATTTTTCTTAGTACTATGCCTATTTGAGGGGGGTATTAATGTAAAACACGTTGTATTAATTACTTTTACTTTTGCTGCTTCTAAATGTATGCAATCTTGAGATTTTGAGTGACTGTAGAACAGGTAATAATGAGAGTTGTCTGCGGAAAATATTTTATTAATGTAGAATTCCTGAATGAAACTCAAATTCAGATAAAATATATTTCAGAATTCATGAACTGCAGTTAGAAGTGTCAGACTTGCAAGAAAAGCTAGAGATAGCGGAACGTGAGGTGAAAAATTACAGCAAACAGGTAAACTAATATTTTAAGGGTTGTGTATTTTGCTTCTTAACTTTTCAGTATAGTCTACAGTTTCTCTTTGCTGAAGAAGGGATCTTAAGATCAGCATTTCCCCCAGGAACTGTCAGCATTTTGTTAATGTTCTGGTTAAAAGCCAGTAGTGGCTTGCTTTGGCATAGCTACTTCTGTATTCATTCTACTGACAGAGTGGGGAATGTAGCTCAGTGGTACAGCTCATGCTTTGCATGCAGAGCATCTCGGACTCAATCTGCAATTCCTGTCTGAAATGCTAGAGAGCTGCAGTCATTGTAAACTATACTGAGCTAGATGGGTCAGGATTCTGACTCTGTATACGGGTGGTTTCAGTTGGGGTCCCTACATCGCAAAGAGGTTGGTCCAATTTTTCTGTTAATAGTTTTGGCACATTAGCTTTCACCAAACTCCTATTTTTTCCTGTCCTGGCTATTCACTGGTAATATTATATTATATTATATTATATTATATTATATTATATTATATTATATTATATCCGTCTATCCCAGTGGGTAGAGCTTGACAGAATTTATACAGAGGAGTTTTTATCCTTCTCAATTGTTCCTCCCTTCCCTTCCATTGCCTTTTTCTGTTCTGGGCATGCACACAATATTTTTGTAACTATGTGCATGTATTCCTTTAATAAAACAAAACAAAATAAAACAGGAAACATAGGAGAGAAAATATTACTAGCCCAAGTAACCATATTTGACAAAATACAAAATTGAGGCATGTGCTTTCTTTACTGATGGGATGAGGGAGAAACTGGGCAGTATCAATTTGCATTTAATTTTTGTTGTTTTTTTAAAAAAAATCAATACTGAGGACTTGCACAAAAGTGCCTGATGTATTTACTATGATAACAGTTTCTGAGTTAATATCCTACTTGTACTGTGTAGACTTCTCAAGAGAACAACTCCTCCTAACTGGCTAGTCGAAATTTGGACACTCCTCCAGAATAAGACAGTTGGTGGAAACTGTCACACTTGTATCAAGTGAGGAGCAAACAGAAGTAGGTGTGTGGTATTAGAAACCACCCACCAAAACGTGTGACAAATCATCTACAAGAAAATGTGATAGCGAGCATCCACACCAGGAGTGACCGCACATGTACAATGGGTTATCTGAGAATTTTTGTGGTACAGTCAAACCTCAGCTCCCCAACCCCCCTGTTCTGGAACGTTTTGGCTCCTGAATGCCAAAAACTGAGAAGTAAATGCTCTGGTTTTCGAACATTTTTCGGAAGCCGAACGTCCAACACGGCTTCCGCTTGATTACAGGAAGCTCCTGCAACCAATCAGAAGCCGCACCCTGGTTGTCGAACATTTTGGAAGCTGAATGGGTTTCCGGAATGGATTACGTTCAACAACCAAGGTTTGACTGTAAAGGGAAATCCCAATTAATTGTGGGGGAATCCTAGCTGGCATTTTAATGATTACAATGATAAAATGTTGTGCATGAGCATCACCAGTTCCACAACAAACCCCAAGGCAGTTTCCTAAGGAGAGATTCCTATTAATATTCAGTTTCCTTTCCAAAGAAACTTATTCTTAATCTCATTGCACTTTACCTCTGTTGTGTTGGCATGTGTGGCTTTGATGAACTTGACAGGCCCCTAGAACACTTGCGGAGGACCCTTCCTGCATGCTATCACAGCCTCTCTGGTAACACATTCACAAATGGTCCATACAACAGACTGGTGTCGAGGATAATTTCTGGTTTGATGGGTGTTTTCATTGGAAATCATAGCATCCCTAGAACAGTCCCATATCCTTATGTACTAAGAGAAGTTCTGGCCAGGTATTTACAGCAGCAACACTCAGTCATTTTAAAAGAATGATTTTGTCTCCAAAGGTTGAGCTGCGAGACAGTGAGATTGAGCGTTTAGGCCTGGCACTGGATGGCGGTCGCTCTCATGATGTCATATCTTTGGAAGCCAGAAGCAGAAGTAATGAAAAAATTATTGCTCACTTAAATTTACAGGTAACGTGTTTGAGCCTCTTTCACTTAGAAACCTTTGTAAGATTCCTCAGCTCCCGATGAAGCTTTAGTGAAGTGCTGCAACTCCAAAACCACCTGAACTGACTCCATAACTGTGATCAGAGATGTCACGTCCCATTTTACTGGCTGTATCCTACACCTATAAGGGACGCGGGTGGCGCTGTGGGTAAAAGCCTCAGCGCCTAGGGCTTGCCGATCGAAAGGTCGGCGGTTCGAATCCCCGCGGCGGGGTGCGCTCCCGCTGCTCGGTCCCAGCGCCTGCCAACCTAGCAGTTCGAAAGCACCCCCGGGTGCAAGTAGATAAATAGGGACCGCTTTCTAGCGGGAAGGTAAACGGCGTTTCCGTGTGCGGTTCTGGCTCGCCAGAGCAGCGATGTCACGCTGGCCACGTGACCCGGAAGTGTCTCCAGACAGCGCTGGCCCCCGGCCTCTTGAGTTAGATGGGCGCACAACCCCAGAGTCTGGCAAGACTGGCCCGTACGGGCAGGGGTACCTTTACCTTTACCTTTTATCCTACATCTACTCATAAGTTAGTTTATTCCTTTTTTGGTCATTGTGTTCCAGCCGATTAACTTAGCAATGATAATATGGCTGAAAATTTTTGAAGGCTGTTTCCTCCAAATGTTTGGGAACCAAATTCATGACTTGGCTATTCAGCTAATTAAAATATCCACAGATCTCAAATGTCTCTTACGTTCTAAGAACATAAAGTACTACAGCTAATAATGGAAAATTATTTGAGAACTAATTGCTAGCTTTTGTTTGCCTGTAGTTGTGCTTCTACTGTTTTATTAACTTGAAACACTTTATATGTTGTGGATGTGTTTCAGATTGAATTTCTGCAGCAAACAAACAAAGAGCTTGAAATGCGCATACAAGATCTTCTGGACAGTAAGCAAAATGTCACTAGTGAAGTGGCTCATTTAAGCAATAAAAATGAAGAACTGTGCCAAGAATTGAGTGAAATAGATCAGTTGGCACAACAGTTGGAAAGGCACAAAGAAATTGTGCTTGAGACTGCAGATAAAGAAATTGGACAGGCTAAGGTAAGGGAATTTTGTAACTTGGTAGAACATCAAGAAAATGTCTCAACTCCCAATGAAAGGTTTCAGGAGTTGCATCTGCTTTTAAAAGTGCACGCATTTGCCCTTGTATTTTAAATTTCATAAAGTGTAGTGCAGAAGAGGATTTGCAGACCAGCAACATCTGGAAAGCCATAACTTCCATATCTTTGCTTTAATGTGTGGATTTTGATATTTTCTTGTATTTGCAATGTTTGTAACAGGCCCCTGTGTACATTATAATGGAATGAGGTCTGTTTTGTAGTTGGCCAAGGAACTGTAGAACTGAGTAACCATATCCTATAAGAAGGATTAATTTAACCTCCAAAAGGGCCTTTGGGGATGTCAAGATGAGCGTTTTGGTATTTTCTTTCCTACTAAGGATAGCTGTTACACTGTGGACATGCAGCACATTTGCTAGAGAACTTCTCTTTAGCCTGTTGGGTTCCCTTATTCTGCAGAAGGGATCTGGAGACCTTTCTGTAGATTTGCTCACATAGATCTTTTCCTAGTCATTTGATATCCCTGTTGCCACCAGACACCTCCTTTGTCCCATAGAGGCTTCAAAATATGTGCTATTTACAGTAATTTCTGGGTTTCTCTGCTCCTTGTATTCCCATCTGACAAGTAAATACAGTGGTACCTCGGGTTAAGTACTTAATTTGTTCCGGAGGTCCGTTCTTAACCTGAAACTGTTCTTAACCTGAAGCACCACTTTAGCTAATGGGGCCTCCTGCTGCCGCTGCGCCGCCGGAGCATGATTTCTGTTCTCATCCTGAAGCAAAGTTCTTAACCTGAAGCACTATTTCTGGGTTAGCGGAGTCTGTAACCTGAAGCATATGTAACTTGAAGCATATGTAACCCGAGGTACCACTGTAGAATTATTATTATTATTATTATTATTATTATTATTATTATTATTTATATACCACCCTATACCCGCAGGTGATGGTAGTTCAACTGCAAAGTTTTTTTGCTACAGTTTACAGATATTACAGATAGAGCCTGAGGCTGAGAGGGAGTAGCTTGCTTGAGGTCATCTACAGAGCTCAGATGTAGACTAGATTTCAACTTACTAACTTTGTAGCTTGGCCTTGTATGTACTCTGCTACATTAGCTCATTTATGATGCACATAAATCTACACAACATTTTGCAGACAGTTTTGTACATCCCTGCTCTTTTTCTGTAAATTGTGTGAATGAAAGTTATAGATATAATAGATATTAGATACCATGTGGACTTACTTGATATATTTTATGTTTAAACAGAAACATGACCTTAAAAATATGAAAATATGTTTTTTTTACTTCTGTGTTATGGTGGCATATTTATAAAGACCCATCACTTTTTATAAACTTTTTATCATTTATGATTTATAGGAAGAGATTAAAAAAACATACAGCGAAATCCAGGATCGTGAAGAGACAATAGCGAAGCTTAAGTCAGTAAGTAACAATTTTAAAGTGGAATAAGTTTATTTAACTCAATGCATTTTTAATACTTGGATATATAGGCTGAATATAATGTGTGTGCTAAAGACATCTGTTTAACAGAACAAGAAAGGAAAACATTAGTAGTAGCAGTATTTTGATAGCTGTGCTGCTTTTCTACTTCTTGACAAACATCTGATAATGCACAAATTCTAGAGAAGAGAAAATAAGTGATATCCTTTATTGGACGTGTTTTGGTAGAACAGTATTCTGGCTTTCAGATTAGATTAAACTCTGCTGCAAACAGAACAAAAAACTAACTACTGTGTCTTGAAAGCCACACTTATATTAATGAGAGTTCGCACAATCCAGTCAGTTAAGCATGTTAAGTCACATGATTTCAACAGGAAACAAGTAGATTTTGAGAAAGCAATTCTCTGCTTTTCCCAAACCTGGAATTTTAAAAGTACATTGTTTGCACTTTCCCATTACTGGAGACATTCTTTCATTATGCCACATTTTGCTATTACAACTTGTCTGGAAGATGACTAGAATTTAGATTTAAGCATCATGTATAAGTAGAAATACCTATGTCAATGAAATATTGTTTTACAAACTCTATATTTACTGTACTATCCTATTTTGAAAATGTGTAATTTGACTTTAGGAGTTATCTACATATCGGCGAGAAAAAGACAGGCTGACCGAAGAACTCTATGGAAAAACTGATGAAAAACAAAATCTTGAAGTGTTGTTAAACCAGGTTCAACTAGAGAACCATAGACTGGCCAAAAAACTTGAAAACCTTGAAATAATAGGTATGTGTTTTAAGAGATCTGGTGGATCATGTTGTACCCAAGACAATCCACAGCATAGTACCTGCACCTACCAAGCATCTACCAAGATGTTCCCTGGGTCACCGACAGCTCACTACTTGGGAGTTGCTCAGGCCCCTATCCACCCCATTGCTGCCACAGCAACAATGTGGCCCAATTGGAAGTCTTCCTGCAGACTCCAACCGAACAGGGGGGAAAAACAGGCAGGGCAAAAGCTGGGATATCCACAAGTGATGTCGTGGAAGGCAGTGTGCCTTATGGAGTACTCTTTTCTATTGTTCTGAAGTTTTGCTTTTCTTTGGGATTTTACTTTTGCCTCTGCTCCCCTTTACTTTTGCTGTTTGTTTGTTCCCTCTAAGCCTTATCCTGGGTGGGGGGCTCTGATGGTGATGAAGGAAGTAGCAGTGTGGGGAAGGGGCCTAGAGGAACGGAGTGACAAAGTTAGGGGTGGGGAGAGGCAGGAAACAGTTTGCCTTCTGTGAAATGGGTGTCTTGTGCTAGGCTCACCACCACTGCAGCCATTCTGTTGTAGTGCCTATGAGAATTGTTCAGAAAGGTTGGGGACCACTGTGATAGCTTGTATTCAAATGCTGGGGGAAATCCACTAAAGATAACAGAACTTTTAACATATACAACTTACTTCGCTGGTGAGTTACCTATACATTTTTAAAACCAGAATTTGCCTACCTTTAGGTGAGCCCAATTTTTCTTTTCCTTTCTCCATCATATAGGGTAAAACCTGTTTCCTTGGTATTGTCCACTCTTAAAAGATTGTCAGGGTGCCTCTTAATATAGTAATTTTTTAAAATGCATTCTTCCTCCTTTAGTCCATATTTTCTTGAGGATGGATGAATGCAGTTCTGTCTGACTTTGCTCCTTCTAGCATCTTTGCTGTATATCTTCAACCATGTGCTGGTTTTCTTTAAACTGACCACCTCTGGTATATGCTAACTTCATTCATGCTTGTTGGTTATTTTCTCATGCAGATCGGGAGCTTGTTATAGAACTAGAGAAAATGAGATTAGAAGGCGGAATAGCACTGGGGGACAAATCACCTTCTCGTCTGGATGCATTTGTAAAAACTATAGAAGAAGACAGGGACTACTATAAGCGTGAACTAGAGTGTCTCCAAAAGATAATTAAACAAAGATCTAGCCCATTACGCAAGTCCCCAGAAAAGGTAATAATTTTTTTGTTAAATATATTATAATGCCTAGTAACCTTTTTCATATGGTGCCCCAGTTTACAACTGCCGTACTTCTTAGATGTGACTGCCAGTAGTAAGAAGGAAGCATTTCTCAAGTAGTCAGACTGGTTGATTGAATTCATACTGTTTTAGTAAGGGAAAACATAATGTTTTCCAATAGAAGTGCAAGGTTTAATACTTGTATGCCAGTGGATTTGCTGCAGACCCCAGCAGCTTTTCAAAATATTTGTAAAACTTTTTAGCAAACCTGAACCACTTCATATTCAATGTATTCTTCAGAGAATGTGGGATCACTTAACTGTTTGTGTTTCATTTTCCCCCTTGAGTCCTTTTTTTCAACTTTTAAAAAAGTTTGCATTACAAAGCTATCTGTCTAATTTACCAATGTGAATGGAAAAGAGAAACTGTCAAACACCTTCATTAACTGGGATACATTCTATTCCCAGAAAATTCTTAGACTATGGTGTAGAAAATTGCATATTTGAAATGCTGTTTTTTCCTGTTTAGACCACTTCAGAAGTCCTGGAATAGGTCCCCCCTCCACCCTGCTTTGTAATATGCCCCCCCCCACATTCATCTTTTTGCAAAAACAAAACAAATAGCCCCAAACCCAAAACATTGCAAAGTGTTTCTGTGCAGTTGGACTTCAGGAATGAACTTTGCCATCAGTTGTAAATCCAGCTTAGAGCATGTTTATACTTATAGTGCAAATTTGTGACAATGCTTTCTGATTTGTATTCTTGAAAGTCCCTATTAGGCCACTGGGGATATATCTTATATTATTTACTATGAGTGCAATATTTCACCTAAGCATTTTGTTTGTTTGTTTGTTTGTTTTTGTTTTACTTTCTCTTCTGCTGTATCTTTCATGGCTTCCAGATAGCCCAATGAAGAATTTAAGTAAACATTGTATCTCAGTAGATTTGGTGCTTGAGCTGTGTTTTTGAAACGTAGTGTCAATACAGTGTATTTTTATGTTAAACAAGTTATTTTTAAATCAAATCAATTTTACTTCCTGCTGGGTCTTTAAAGGTATCTGTTGGGCTTTAATAGCAATTTGATATTGTCCAAAAAATGGAGCGTCAGGATTAAATATGAGGCAGTACAGTATGATGATATTACTATTCAGTAGTATTATAATACCCTGTGTATATTTACTCAGAAGCACATTCCACTTAATTCAGTAAGATTCTTTTCCTTAATTAAACATGCATAGGACTACAGCCTAAAATGCATATGTTCCTCATGCCCAGGGCTCACATAGATCCACTCTTATAATGCTAAGCTGTTTATGAAGCCTGGAATGATCGTCTGAACTCAGCCATAGTTTGAGGTATAATCCTGTCATCAGACATATCTGTCTTAATTACTTCAGTATAATTTAAGTAATTTAACCCAGGATTTCAGCACTGATTATTTACATCAGTAGCACCTGTCAGTAACAGTACAGTATCTGTGCCAGGTAACTAGTAATATAGTTTTTAATGTGTAATTTTCCTCTCCCCCCTTTTTTTTTTTGACAGAATGGTGATCTAAGATTGGTCACCCGAGAAAGAGATGAGCTACAGTCTATGCTAGAAAGATTTGAAAAGCACATGATAGAAATTCAATCTAATGTCAAACTCTTAACTGCAGAAAGAGACAAACTAAGCATTCTTTATGAACGGGTAAGTCCAAATTAATAGGTGGGGCCACTGACTGTCAGGACATAACATGTATAATGGAGCCGAGATTTGCAGGAGCAAGAAGGAAGCAACATATAATCATATAAATACTCTTCAAAAGAGAATTAGACAAAATCATGGTGGATAAGGCTATTAGTGGCTACTAACCAGGATGGCTACGTTCTGCCTCCATAGTCAGAGGCAGTAGGCTTCTGAATACCTCTTGGAAACTGCAGGAGGGGAGAGTGCTCTTGTCCTCAGGTCCTGCTTGCAGGTTTTCCACATGCATCTGGTTCACCACTATGAGAATAGGATGCAGCAATTGCTGCAGAGCCAGGCTTAGACATGGAAGTAACAGAAAGAGGAATGAATGCAGATTAAAGGACAGGTAATAGATTTATGATGTTGAGACAATGTCTTAACCTGCACCAGATGCATAGCTATCATTGAACTGGGTAAGAATGGCCTCTGGTTGGGCAGGCGGCATGGTACAAGTCAATGCTGGGCCAAATTCCTCATATACTTGGCAGCGTTTTATTTGTTCTCCATCTTTTTTCTTTCACCCACCATCTTACGCCTTTCTTTCCTCCATGCATGGATCTGATAGCTTGCATATATATATTCATTTAACAGGGACGCGAGTGGCGCTGTGGGTAAAACCTCAGCGCCTAGGACTTGCCGATCACATGGTCGGCAGTTCGAATCCCTGCGGCGGGGTGCGCTCCCATCGTTCGGTCCCAGCGCCTGCCAACCTAGCAGTTCGAAAGCACCCCCGGGTGCAAGTAGATAAATAGGGGCCGCTTACCAGCGGGAAGGTAAACGGAGTTCCGTGTGCTGCGCTGGCTCTCCAGATGCAGCTTGTCATGCTGGCCACGTGACCTGGAAGTGTCTGCGAACAGCGCTGGCTCCCGGCCTCTAGAGTGAGATGAGCGCACAACCTAGAGTCTGTCAAGACTGGCCCGTACAGGCAGGGGTACTTTTACCTTTACCTTATATATTCATTTTATTGATACACTTAAAAAACGTTTATTTTTTTACTTTTTAAGTCTCAAGATGAGTTAAACCGTCTACGGAGAGAAACAAAAACTTCTTTAATGACACAAAGTTACGCAGAAGAGGAGCGGAACATTGCGATGTCCGATTTCAGAAGAGTGGTGGCAGAGAAAGAAGGACTAAGAGAGAAGTTAAAGGTCACCATTTTACAAATAATGCTTTTTTGTAATGTTTCGAGCTTGCGATAACTTTGTGCTACTTTGTTACCTCACAAAAGTCGCTACTCCCCATGGATGGTGCAATTAAGCAGGGCAGTCAATTCACTGATTTCAGCCAAAGCCATTCAAAAATTTCTAAGGCACATTTTTATCTTGTGAACTGCCTTGGGATCTTGTGATAAAGGGTGGTATATAAATAATAATAATAATAATAATAATAATAATAATAATTTAGAGCGTCAGTTTTTTTGGGGGGGAACCATGCTACAGATGAAGTCAATAAGCTGCTATCTTGCACATAATACTTCTAGTGTTCTGGACCCATATATATATATATATAGTGTTCTGGACCCATATATGCAGTGCTTTTTTCTGGGGGGATGCAGGGGTACGCATACCCCTAAACATTTTGTGAATCTTTGTACTTTTGTCCATTTACTGTATTTATTTCTCCCAACTTGAACTATAAAATGGTGATTTTCTTGAGTCAAAATGAGAGTACCCCTAAACATTTTTAAGGGGGGGAAAGCGCTGCTTCTATTGTTGTTAATATTAACATTGCGTGAGTATCCATGTGAGCTGCTATGGAACCAGTAGCAGAGTCATCAGGAGCAGAGGAGAGGCTTCAACAACTGACACCCAGACTCTGCTCCCCAGGAATTCTTTATCAGTCGAACCTGCAGGAAACAAATGGAGGCAGGGCGGAGCCAGTCAAAAGCAGCAGCAGCAGCTTGAAAGGGATGTCATGCCTCCCTCCCCCTTTTGGAGAAAAGAGCTCCCTTGTCTCCAATGACACACAGAATGATGCGTAGAGTGGAGCAGAGATTAGAGATGCCTAGATGCAGTTTGAGGCTGCTTGGGAAACATCCAGCAGAGGAGGAGCTTTAGAGGAGCTTGAAGGTGGGGACATTCAGTCCTGGCAGCTGCTCTATAGGGGCAGGACTTGCTGGGAAGTGTTGCTGAGTTGTATACCATTTCTTTAAATAAAGAGTTAACTTCTCTGACAAACTCTGCTTCTTGCTTGCTGGCATGAGTTTGACTCCAGCCCTGACATAAACCCATGTGCCCTGCCTTCTGTGTCTGTTTTTCCTGCCTCACCTTTCCACACAGCACATATATTAGCCAAGTTCAGTGTTCTAAGGCATAGAGAGTAGGTGCAGTTTTCTTTATGTCTCCTAATTCCCATGCTCCCTAGACGATCAGATGCTCAAAGGTTAATCAGTTAATTAAACAATGCCCTCTGATGAGTTGTTTTTCTTCGTTTCATAAGATCCATCAGGATGAAAAATCAAAGTTAGAACAGGAAATATCAGACTTGGAAAACACTGTTCACAGAGTAAGTGATTTAAATACTTGCTGGCATCAGAATTTATTAATGCGTAGTGATGGAATGTCATTGTTTGTGTGTTGACTATTCAAATTATGATTGAGACTATGGCTTTTCTCCGTTTACTTCTCACGATCATTTGCAAGACTAGGTTTGCAATAGACATCGTGTAAACTTTTAGCAATTCCTTTTCATATTCCTGATGGCAGCTCCATTATTGTGAGCTTTACTGCCGGTACATTGCGCCTTAAGAAGAGAGAAGAAGAAGAGTTTGGACTTGATATCCTGCCTTTCACTCCCCTTCAGGAGTCTCAAAGCGGCTAACATTCTCCTTTCCCTTCCTCCCCCACAACAAACACTCTGTGAGGTGAGTGGGGCTGAGAGACTTCAAAGAAGTGTGACTGGCCCAAGGTCACCCAGCAGCTGCATGTGGAGGAGCGGAGACGCGAACCCGGTTCCCCAGATTACGTGACTACCGCTCTTAACCACTACACCACACTGGCTCATCTAAAAGATTTTGGTGGAGTTCACTAATGAGGGGGTGCTTATCAAATTTGCAGATGGCACCAAACTGGGAGGGGTAGTTTATACCTCAGAAGATTGAATCAGGATTCAAGATTACTTTAACAGATTGGAGAACTGGGCCAAAACTAAAAAACTAAAACAGTTTACCTTAGAGCAGTGTTTCCCAACCTTGTGCCTCCAGCTGTTTTTGAACTACAACTCCCATCATCCCTGACTAGCAAGACCAGTGGCAAGGGATGATGGGAATTGTAGTCCAAAAACAGCTGGAGGCACAAGGTTGGGAAACACTGCCTTAGAGGGTGATGGACTCTCTTTCATTAGAGGTTTTTAATCAGAGGTTGGATGGCCATACTGTCAGGGATTTTTTAGCTGTGATTTCTGTGCTGAAGGGGGTTGGACTAGATTACCCTTGCAGTCCCTTCCAACACTATGATTCTAAGGAGCTTAAGATTACAGCCGTAGTTTTGCAGTTTTTATTGAATTTGAGTGAACTGGTCTTTATTGGGATTTTGCTTAGTTTTTAAATACTTATTTTTTTCCCTCAAAAAAAATGCTGCTCTTAGCAGATTCAGAAAATAATATTTGTGCGTTGTTTTCTGCTGCAGTTGGAGACTGAACATCTTGATCAAGTAACTACTATTTCATTGTTAAAAAACAAAATAGTCTGCTTAGAAGATGAATCAAATATTAAGTCTCATCAGCTGTCTCAGTTGTCTGAAGATGCTTCACAATTTAAAACAGAAATAAACTCCCTTCAGTAAGTTCAGCCATTTATTTAGTATCTTATTGGTGCCTTGCTCAAATCTATTAATTTATGTCATTTTACAGGAAATATTTGCATCAGTTGTCAGGCCTTAAATAGAGATGCAGGCTCCATAATTGCCTGAAAGTCATATTGGAAGCTGTGTTCCTTAATTCAAAATAATATGTGGCCATTCCAGTTGCTTAGTAATGATGGAAAGGAACACTGAATATGCTTGAAGACAATTTAGTATTACTTAACACATCCTAGGGTTCAGTCCAGTTATTTCATTAAGCAAGAGGCTTCGGCTGTGCTTTGGTTCGAATTAAGCCCCAAATTGTGTCAGTGCCCCAATTTCAGGAGATAAAAGATTGGATTCCTAGAAAGTATAATGTTCAGTGTCTCTGCATTTCTAGCTGATATATCCTGATGCATGGTTTTAGTTTTCTGAGGCTATTTTTTTAGTACAGCTACTAATTGCTGTTTTTGTAAGCTCATTGGAAAGTGTTGTTTCCTTTGCTGCATAATTCTGTGCTTTGCAGTGTTTTCAGGTTGTGCTTATCATATTCTAACTTATTTACATTTAAAAACCTGCACCTGTTTCCCCCCTCCCTCCAAAATGGATATCAATTCTGCAGACTACTAAATGAACAGATACAAAAGTCTTTAGATGAAGTGCAGCATCAGTTGGCTCTTAAAGATGATGAACTTCATTTGGCTCAAGAAGAAATTTTATTGCTTGAAGAAAAAACAGGTGAATGCTGTTTTATTTCTTAGAGTGAAAAATTTACGGCTTAACTACTTAATCTGAAAAGTCAAGAGATTGGGACTAGTTTAACTCTTGGCACAGAACATTGGCGGCATCTGCCTTTCCTCTTCTCAAGCGGTCAACAACTGTCAAATGTAGGATTGAATTTGGTCCCCCATCATTGCTTCCCACTTTTCTAGTGTTGAATTGCTAACAGGGATTAGAGCAGGAGCAGCAAACCTATTTGAACCACTGGGCCAAGTCTTTATCTCCCCACATCCCACAGGCTAACTTTGACAGGTGGATGTGAATGCCAGCCTGTCAGTCATCTGACATCAGGTGACTTCTTTGCCAATGCCTTCCCCACAGAGGACATATGGAAGAAGAAGCACTCAGCTAATGAGCAGAGATTCAATCCTGCTCTCTGCAGGGGTCTGAATGGGATTTACCCCTATGGGGAATTGGCAGGTGCTGCAGAACCCTGCCTATTAGCTGCTGTCACCCAGTGATGTCACTTTATTGACAGGTGGACATGGTTTGGGGGAAATGGCCTCATAGGCCCAATTGCACACCCTGGTATGCCAACATTGGCCCATGAACTGGAGATTCCTCACCCCTAAATTTAGAAGTAGGGAAAGAAACATGGGCGTGAAAGAAGGGGTCCTCTTGTGCTTTTCCCATCCTTCTCAGCCATTCCTCATTTGGCAATGAAGAAACAGAGGGAGGAGAATGTGAGAAGGAGCTGAGAAAGATCTTGAGAGGGGAACCAGAGGACTGCAAGAAAGAACGTTTCCCTGTTATTTCTTGTTCATGCAAATACCTCCCATGCTGTTTTTCATAACTCAGAGGCTGGTGGAAGACATTGTGGAGAAGTCCACTTATTGCATATACCCTTTGGCAGGGTTCTACTTTTTCAAAGCCATCAAAGAGCAAGGGACTAGCTTTAAAAGACCTTTGTTGGCAGGTGTTTGTAGTGGGGTGGATTTGCCCAGCATTCTTCCTTCACTTCCATTGACAATAACTTAGCAGTAAAGATTTGCCCATCATTAAAGTCTAGAACAAGGTGCCACAAACAGAGCAAAAAAGTACCTCATACATAAATGTAAGTTGTCTGATGATATTTGCCAAGTTGTGGATTTCCACTTGCACAGCCAAACTCTGCCTTACACCCACCCACAAAATATTACGTCAGGTATCCCTAACTCTCCCGAACAGATATTGTTGGGTGAGGGGGGTCAGAGATAAGGCGGCAGGCGGAAGGAGAAGTTCCATTACATGAGTGAATGTCTGCTCACACAACATTAGCTGTCATCTTTAAGCTCTATATCAATAGATCCCTAAACTTTTTGCCCCATGGACTGCTTGAAAATTGCTAGGAGTCTTTGCTAACTGCTTAATTATTTTTCTGCCTTTTGTATCAATTGTAATGTGCTGTTCTAGATTCCGTATAGTTTTTTCAATGCATTTTATTGCTGCTTTTATTTCTCATAAATTAAATTTTATTGTTTTCCATAGATTCCTATTGCAGTACAATAAAATACAAAAGAAGATATAAAAGAAGCAATTAAAATACAATTGAAATAAATGTGACTTTTCATTGCAATGAACATACTGTTTCCCATCTTCAACCACAAATCCACAGACATGCTGAAGCCCCCCTGAATGTAGTCTGCAGACCACATTTTGGGAGCCCCTGCTCTTCATAATTCAAACAGTATTTATTTATTTTCAGGTAAATTCAGTAATAAGCACCATGCACAGGATGAGACCATCAGTGTGCTCAGAAGTACAATTAATGTCTTGGCTAAGGAAAAGGACAGCCTCCAGGAAAGTATAGATGAAAAGACAGAAAGAGTTGCTTATCTAGATGACAATTTAGCCAATAAGGTATGTACACAGGGCATGAAATAGACACATCAGGGGGACACATGGGCTAGAGTTGGGAGGAGGGGGCCTATTGTACTATCGGATTTCTGCTTACCTGACTTTTGATCCAGGTCAACACTTGCAAGTCTTGAATGGTGCATACTGATAAAAGACAAGAAAAGAATTATGAACTCAAGAAAATTAGTAACTGTCAACAGCTTCCTTAAAACAATAAAAAATCAAACTGTACATTAAAGATTAAAAAATGAGTAGGGGAAAAAATTTTTATAGTCTTAAGTTTCAGCAGAGTCACCAAAAACAGCAGCCCTATAAGTTCTTCTGAAGAGATCACAATCTAATGAATACAAAGAGGCTTGAATTAATAGATTTTAGTAATAAAAATTATAAAATGAAACTGCTGCCGAGATCCTTTCAGCTTTACCTTCTCCGCGTATTTCTTTCCTCCCTTCTCTCCCAGCTTTCTGACTGCTGCCATGAAGCAGTAGGAGGAGAAATGCTGACACATGGCCCACATGCTCCCTTGCTGCTTTCATTTTAGGCAAGAGAGAGTAGGGGAAAGGAAAACAACTTTGAAGTAAATGTGAAAAGGGGAGGGGTTGGGCAACAGTTTTTCCACCTCTGCTCTCCAGTTTCTCTGTCTTACTGTCAGAATCATGTCTTGTCAGCATTGTGAAAAGAAACTGTGAATTTAGGATGGTTACAAGAGGCCACATTTTTTCCTAGGAAGTTATGTGGTATATCAGTAACCTCACACTTCAGTCCCTTCAGGCCATAAGTAGTGATGGCCAAAAGGAAAGTAGAGTACAAAGGAAAATAAATAAATGCAAATGCATATCATTGACTATTAGTAAAATGAAGGTACCCCATTTTTTAGCTTCAGCTACCCTTTAATATTTAATATTTAACTACAAGAGACTGCTAGTGAATAATTGATAACAGTACTGTATTATGCTGTATATTTGTTATATCTGTATTTCACTTGTTGATCATACCTATTAGTATGGCTGATGTGAATTACAGGATAAGATAAAACCAATAATCTTTGCCATCATGTTTCTTTCTATAGGAAAAAACTATCCTCAATTTGCGACAAACTCTTACTCAGTTAGAGTCGTCCTTAGAGTAAGTAATAGTAATGAAAATTATTACTTTTGACTCTGAAATTTCATCTTATAGCAATCAAAGTATTTTAATAAGCTAATATACTTATAATTAAACCTTTGCACGTGAACTGCAGTTGAAGAAGATGATTCCTCTGAAGAAGGCTAAAATATGGGAGGGGGGAAACCTAAGGCAATTACAATTATCCTAATTCGGCACTTACAGATGTACTTTAAGGTGGAATTCTGTGCACCTTACATGAGAATCAGTGGAGGGCTGTTTTTTTTTCCTCAGAAGCATGCCAAAATATTTCCAAGGAGGAAAATGTAATGTTCCCTGATCTTTTCCACAGCCAACCAATGATAATAGTTGATGGTGCCTTGCCAATACTCAAATGCTACAAAGGAATTCAGTATAGCAACTGAGTATTTGCAGGGTAAGTAGAAGAACAACAAACTAATATTATGCAAAGCAAACTGCAGTTTGAACATCTGGGCCAAGTCTTGGCTTACTATATGGTTAAAACAAACTATAACTTGGTGGTACTTCTAAATTATTATTATTATGCGGCCCATGTTACCAATCATAGTGCTGTGCCAGAATTTCAGACATAATGCTTGGCGATCAAGTTGCTAATAAAGAAATGTGAGAAGCCCATGTAGACTGCAAAGATGGAATTGTACAATAATGTTATCATTACTATCTAATGCAAAGTTAAAAGCACTTGAGATGATTCATCTTAGTTACTGGAATGTAGTTGTTACGGAGATTTATATAATGCAAAAAGATAAATTCTGTTTAAGGTTTTCCAAATCCCCCATTTGCTAGCCAATTAAAGGATGCCTTAAGCGGTAAAGACCGAGAACTAGCCAGCGTCCGTCGCCAGATCGAGGCAGCACATTCTGAGCTTGGTGAAGTCAGCAGGGTGAAAGAAATGGCCTTGAAAGAGAACAGAAGATTACAGGATGATCTATCCACAATGGCCAGAGAAAACCAGGTACAATAGTCCATAATGATACATGTCACAGTTGCTTTAAATAGTGTTTAGGTACCTGAAATTATGTTTGATGTGATTTGTAATTTTAATTGGTGCGTTTGTTAAGAGTGGCAGCATTACATTCATACTATATTTTTTTACTTTAGGGGGTGCTGATTTAAACGTGACACTAGATATGTATAAAACATTTATGGATTATGTGCAGCCAACCTCATATTTAAACTAGATCACTGGTGCATACACCTGGAGGATTAACATGATGTAGACATCTGTATACTAAAGCCATGTATGTAGGAACTGCCAAACGCTGCTTAAATGTGATGCTATCCACTTGGAATGCCATCTTTCCAGATTTTCTACCCTGGAACTGTGTTTCTTTACATGTTTTCTTCGGATTACATTTAGCTGTAAAAAAGTGTGATATTTTAAAATAGCCATCAAGTGACTGTTCAAACAACATTAAGTTAGAATCTAGCCATTATTGGGGAAGTTCTTCCTTTAGGGTTAGTTAATTTTTGTCTGGGCTTTTTTCATTTCAGACTGCAGATGGGGGACTTGCATGATAGAATGCTCCTTTATTTAAAATCAAAACAGAGAAAACTAGTGTTTCCCTGATCTCTTAAGTTCTATGTATATTTCTTTTCTATGCAGAAGTACATATACAAACCCCCACCTGAAGCCTGGTACAGCTCAGGCACAGGGTTACCAAATGAGAGCTAGCCTTATTTTATTTGCATGTAATATTATTTGTAATGGTTTATCATCTAAATAGGCAATCTCATCTGAACTGGAATCAGCATTACGTGATAAAGAAGAAATGAAAATTAGAGTTCATAATTACATAACAGAAGTCTCCAGGTTTGAAAGTTTAATGGCCTCAAAGGTGAGGAAGTGCATTTGGAAGTTCCCATGAATATTTTATTAAGCAGGTGTATCATGTTTTAAAAGTTAAGATCAGGCATGGCCTAGCATCAACCCACAAGCAGAGTGCTGCAAAGGTGGAAACGGCTGGGAACTATTAAAACTAAACATGAAATAAACATTCAGCTTATACATTCCAAAAGTGACAATTTGGCTTCAGGTACAGATTTCGATATTAATACTGTTTGATATAGCCTAACAGTTGTACTGCCAGCACAATGCCTGCATTCAAACATAATGCTAAACTAGGGGTCTCTAATCTTTTTGGGCCCATCAGCACACTTGCAAACCAGAGCAACTGTTGTGGACACCACACATAGATACACACCAACCAAGCACTCACTGCAACCTCTTTTATTGGCTACAACAGAAGTTGCAACCCGGGTAGAGCTTTTGCATTTAGAAGCTGCATCTCAAGACCTGACTAGGCAGGCAATACAGCAGCATATTAGGTTTTGCAGCCAGGGACTTCCTGCTTTCTTTCAGCAGCTGACATGCACACTACAGTCGAACCTCTACTTACCACCGCCTCTTCCAAGCCGCGACCACGGCAAACCCGGAAGTAACTGGCGGGTTTGCCGCTGTTCATGCACATGCACAGAAGCGGGCAATCACCGCCCGTGCACAACAGCGCCTCTCCCAGCGACCCGTTTCAACCTCTGGACGGACCTCCAGAATGGATTATGGTCGCAAATAGAGGTTCCACTGTACTGAGTATTGGAGCCCTAGCTTTCAAGCCCCGTGCAAAGGGCTGGAGTCATGCCCACTCTCAGGTTGTTAAATTGAAGCCAGTAACAGACTGCATGTATTCAGTGTGATTGCAATTAACATAGTCCATGAAAAGCCTATCGTGTAACGTAGCACAGCATTGTTTTTAAAATTCTGTTTGTGAAAGGTACTTAAAATGATTTAAAAATCAAAATCTTATTCAGAATATCTCAAACTTACAGATTCCTACTGCATGCAATTTGTTACTTGTAGCAAATTATTATTATTATTATTATTATTATTATTATTATTATTATTATTACCCTGCCCATTTGGCTATGTTTCCACCACCACTCTGGGTGGCTCCCAACAGAATATTAATAATAATTTAAAAAGCGATAAAACATCCATCCTTAAAAACTTCCTTAAACAGCAAAGACAAAGGATATATCCCAGAGACCTCTGAGCAACATGAGTTCTTCTGAAAGGGAATCTTTCTGTATCTCACATTTTGAATCAGCAGATAGCTTTTTATGTTCTGTTAGAGTGAGAAAGAGTTTGGGGTTTCTGTGTGTTCTGCTTTAAAGATCTATTTACACCAAACTTCCAAAATGCTTTAAAAACTTATACACATGCTGGAGCTACAGGTTTTATGTGTGCATACATTTGGATCATAGCAAAAGACCATTCCCGCCCCCCTTAGTCCTTGAAAATTTATACAACAGACAAAGCATAAAATATGACACCCTTCTTATGTGTAATCATCAGAATTTGTATCAACTTGTAAAAGCAACATCCGCTTTAAATGCTGTGAGATTCTAACTCAAGGACTCAGCCTCACTGTACACAAAGATGAGGATGTAAAAAAATATGATTTATTTAAGAGGAAGGAGAGAAGTGGGAGTTGGGGTGCAAGTAAAATATGGAGAAGAGCACAAGTTCAGGGTCAAACTCTTCTACCATGCGTAGTGAAGCAATGTGATGATTTCTTGTGGGTAGAAAGCATTTGATACAGTGATTCATTGCTCAATGGTATATATTTCTGCTTTGAACTAGGAAAGAGAAAACAAGGAGCTGTTGGAAAAGTTCCAGATGCTCTATAGCCAAGCTGAAAACTGGGAAGTAAAGGCCCATCAAGCTGAGGGGCAAAGCAGCTCTGTACGACTGGAACTCCTTTCTGTTGATACTGAGAGACGGCATCTTAGAGAGAGAGCGGAACTACTGGAAAAAGAAATTCAGGAGGTAATTACTGACACTAGCTGAACTTTATTACCTAGTCCCTTTTCCTGATGTGCTTTCTTAATCATACGCCTTTGCATTAATTGGAGATTTCTGCAGAGGACAAGGTGTGTTAATTAATAATTCGTTTCAGCTCATGGGAACACTAATTTCAGAGCTATTTCTGTTCTCACATGTTAGGGCTTATAAATGATTATAAGTGTATTTTGGAGGGGGGGGAAACAAGTTGGTGGGGGTTGTTTTCTTAACTCAGTAATCAAGAGAGCTTGAATTTTGGTTAGCGTGCAGTGAGACGGACTGTCACATGCCTGCATGTAATAATAGAGTTGCATTTGTCTTTCACTTAGCATATCATTGCCCACCAAGCTTATGAATCACAGATCTCTTCAATGGCAAAAAGTATGGCCAAACTAGAGGAGAGTCTCAAACGTGAAAAAGAAGAAAAGTCTTCCATCTCTGTTGATGTGGTTTCTGTTAGAGAGCTGTGTGCCAAACTGGAGTCCAGCAAAGAAAGTCTCTCACGTCAGTTAACATCCAAATCTATGGAGTTTGAGAGGGTAAGAGGAAGAACTTAGCTCTTAGCACAACACATCTAAATAAGTTCAATACAGTCATACCTCGGGTTGAAGTAGCTTCGGGAAGAATATTTTTGAGTTGCGCTCCACGGTGACCCGGAAGTAACGGAGCATGTTACTTCCGGGTTTCGCCGCATGCGCAGACGCTCAAAATGATGTCACGCACATGTGCAGAAGCAGCGAAACGCGACCCACACAGACGCGCAGTTGCGTGTTACGTTCGCTTCAGGATGTGAACGGGGCTCCAGAACGGATCCCATTCGCATCCAGAGGTACCACTGGTCACATGTGACACTAAAATGTAAACCCAAGGATTTGAACCCTAAGATCGTTCACTTGAGAAAGTGCAAGTAAGGCAAGTTTCCCCTCCACTCCCCTGCAGCAAGCTGTGGCCCCTGAAATCCCTTTTCAGAGAGTGGAGGAAGAGCTCTTGAGCAATGGGCATGGGAGGCTACTATGGGGAGGAGGAAGTGGGAAACATTCCACGAACTTCCATGTGTTCACTTAGCTCAGATCCAAGACCAAATGAGCAATTACGCCTTCCCCTGCAGTGCCCTACATCATATCCCACAGTGTTTAGGAGGACCTACCAACATTTCACAGAGGCAAGGACATGAGTCTTCTTTTATGTGAACTTCCTCAAATTAAGAAATATTGGCTTGAATCTTAAGACAAGTTAAAAGTGAAAGACGGACCAGTTGTAATGTTTAATCAGAGTAAATTCAATCCCGCTTCAAACCATGGTGATGCATTCTGGTTTATACTTAACCATGGTTAAATATTCAGATACTGGCTGCATTACTGGTTAAGGTGTCTTCCCATTAAGCAAGATCTGAAGCAAAGAACAAGTCTTGGCTACATATTTCAATTAAGGGTTTGGACAGCATGTTAAGCCAAACCTTAGCTTAGCCCAAAGAGGAACAAAGCAGGTGTAATGGGGAGCCAACATTTTTGTTTGGTCTTGGTAAGCTGTAATTTGATTTAATGTGACATGCAAACAAGGCCACTACTACCTAAACCTGTTGAAGGAACATAAAGTTAAGCATCTGCATAGAATTTGCCTATATGAAAGGATGCCTATGAATAAGACCTTTAATATTTAACCTGAAACTTAATTAGAATGAATTGTTTTTATGTTCTAGGTAATATCAGAATGTGAAGATGCAAGAGCGGAAACAGAACTGTTAAAAAAACAATTGTCCAGTGAGCGGCTTACAATACAGAACTTGGAAACACTCTTGTCTACCAGCAGAGACAAAGATTTTCAGAATCATTTGATAACCCATGAGAAAGATTCAGAAATACAGCTACTTAAGGACAAGTTAACACTCTCGGAGAGTAAATTGTATGTTTGTAAAGTGCAGAACTATTCTTACAACATTTTAAAGCTACTGTTTATAACTTCATGCAAAGATATCTGGCCTCATGAGAAACCTAGCTGTATATATAAAAAACCATTTTCACCTGATAAATCCTAAATTTCTAGCACCATTCTGCACAAACTATATAACTTAGTTGCTGGAAACTCTAAGTCTTAATTATTTTTGTCTCAGCCCTCGGTCCTCCAAGACTTGCGCCCAAAGATAATGGCATTTACTTGGAATTAAGGGTAGCATCATATGTTCTTTTAACAGTGATTTTGTAGTACTGTCTCACTGCAGATCCATTCATAGGGTCAGGTGTTGACTTCAGCCATGGTGAATTAAAGGAACTAGTGAAACGGCTTTAGAGACTGATTCATGCGAACATGAGTGCTAAATTCCCTCTAGATCAGGGGTGTCCGACAGGTCGATCACGGGGTGTCCCTGGAACCCCAATACCCCCCAAAAAAGCTCAACAACTTTGGCTCATCCTCCCACAACAAACGCTCAACAACTTTTATGGGTTGGATCTCACTGTCAGTTTTTTTATAGTGGGAGTAAATCACAGTCTCTTGGAAGTTGGACACCCCTGCTCTAGATGTTTGGGGTACTCAGTGCAGTCCCATGTAGCCCTGGGTCTCTGATTCACATCCTGATTCCTCACACTTGAAATCTCAAAAGATATGGAAGGAATTAGCAGCATGAGCAAATGTTGTGAGCTGGTCTTAAGTTCCATATTGAGCTGACTATGCTTGGAGGCTGACCTTGATAAGAATCTTCCTCAATAGTAGTTACAAACTTGCAGTTGAGAAATATCTTCATTGTGTGTGTGTTTGCATTTGTGTGTACACATTTGTATGTCTGCGTATGTGGGTTTTTTTGTTTTTGTTTCTTGCTCCTTGTTTATCTGCCTTGTTGCCGCTATTTTTAAAGTTCCTATAAGATGCCATCTGTAACTGTGCAATTGTTAAGAACTTTCTTTGTTTGCAATATTTTTAGAACGAGCGTTAATAGGGAAGTTTCAATAACTCGAAATAAACTTGCACAGCTGCAGGCTGATTATGATATTGTGAAAAGGCAGCTGACAACAGAACGATTTGAAAGGTAAGTGAATTTGCTTTATAAACGTGCCCAGTGTCACAAATCCTATGTTTTTAAGAGAAGAAATATAAAAGTACTATGTATACTATTCTGCAGAAAATATTTAATATCACAGCTGACTCAAAATCTGATTACAGAATTATGAGTGGAATCCAGTAAGTTCTCCTAATGCTGTTTTTTCCAACACAAGTTTACTTTTAAAAGACAACTGAAGGCGGCCCTGTTTAGGGAAGTTTTTAACGTTTGATGCTGTATTGTTTTTAATATTTGGTTGGAAGCCGCCCAGAGTGGCTGGGGAAACCCTGCCAGATGGGTGGGGTATACATAAATTATTATTGTTATTGTTATTGTTATCGTTATTGTTATTATTTCTCCACTAAAGGAGGAAGTGGACAGAAAGCAGGAGAAATCTCTAGAGCAATTTTTTGGGAATGCTGGGAACTGCAGGGGAAGGGAGAATAAGCAAAACTCTTTCCTTCATTAATTGACACTTTCCACTGGATCAAAAGGCCTTGCACTTGCAACTCTGTCCTCTTACCTAGCACTGAGGTTCAAGAGACCACAATTCCCTTTGTAATTTTGCCCATTATTTTGAAAACATTTGATTTGCCCCTTGTTTTCTTAGCTATTTAGTCACATTTTACTGTTCCTTTTGGTAGTGGAAGTCTGTAAAACAATAGGAAAAATTGTGGCAAATTCTGCAGTGTCCTCTCAAAATTCACAAATGAAAGGTAAATGAAAAATAAGTTGGTGTGTTCTTGTACAGTGGTACCTCGCAAGAAGAATGCCTCACAAGACAAAAAACTCGCTAGACGAAAGGGTTTTTTGAGCTGCTTCGCAAGATGATTTTCCCTGTGGGCTTGCTTCGCAAGACGGAAACGTCTTGCAAGTTTGTTTCCTTTTTCTTAACACCGTTAATACAGTTGTGACTTGACTTCAAGGAGCAACTCATAGAACGCGGTGTGGTAGCCTTTTTTGAGGTTTTTAAAGACTTTGGTGATTTTTGAAGCTTTTCCAAAACTTTCCCGACACCGTGCTTCGCAAGACGAAAAAAATCGCAAGACGACAAAACTCGCGGAACGAATTAATTTCGTCTTGCGAGGCACCACTGTACTGTAGAAAATAAAATATGGGCTAATCTAGCCAAAGTTAAAACATATTAACCCAATTGTTCAAACTTATCCCATTGAAAATAAAACAGTATTTTGTTTTGTCTGGATCATGCTCCATGTTTGTTTGGCTTTTCATTTACTTTGCTGTTTTCTGTAATTTTATTTTATTTTTGGCATGTTATCCCAAGTAAGATTTGCACATAGATAAACCTTTCATAACCAAACACAAAGCAAATAAATACATACCAAGATCCACCTCCTATGTGGAAACAGTGAAATAGTAATTATTGACAAAGAAATTCTTTCCCCCCCCCCAGCTCCCCTGTCTAGAATAGATGGCTAAATAGGGGCAATAAACCCCCTTTTGCTCACCACCTCCTCTGAACATGTTAATGAACAGGTTCCTTTTGGGATGGAATGTGAAGTTTTGAAAGTTGTCCTTGGGTTCTGGGTGAACGAGGAAAGAGGGAATCTGAGCATATTCTGCTCCACGCCTTATGCTCTCTCAGTGACAGTGCTTTTTCTTCTTTTTGTATAGAACTGTGGCTTATTATTATTATTATAATCATTATTATTATTTGCTCCATGTATAGCTCCAACTTGCTTCCAATGTGGCAAAATGCATGGGGATACGCTCACAATTTCTTATTTTTCCTTAACAGGGAGCGTGCCATTCAAGAGATGCGTCGACATGGTCTCTCTACCACTTCGCTACGTGCCTCATCCCCGCTTAGTTCAACTTTTAAAACTTCACATTCTCCAGAAAGAACAGCTACAGTGGTAACAGAACAAGCAGACAAGTATGCCATTGAATAGATTGGGTGTTTACTTTTTTGACATGTTATTAGTTTTCATAATATGAAACGTAAAATGAAATGTCAGAACAGGTCTGCAGTTAGCATTTTTCCAAGAGTAAGTTACAGATTGACAACAGTAAACCTTTGCTCTGTGGCCCCTCCATGTGAGTGTAATGGGGGGGGGGAGAGCTTTTGGGTAGCTAGGGTAACTAAAATTATACCAGTGCATATTATTAATAGTTTTTATTATAGTGCAGTCTGACTTGAAGTACTGAGAAACAGATTCCGCAGAAAATAATATTAAATTATCAGGTCTTAAACGGACAGTATAGTGCCAATGTAATATAATAACTGTAATCTTTTCCTTCTCAGAGGTGTGGGCTTCAAGGATTAATCAGTTACTTTAAAAGAAGAACAGTAATAGAAGTTTTAACATGTTTGGACTCGTTGTCAACACTGACATGAACTCTACCTCCTAAACATTGTTAAATCATTTAAAACCTTGAGAAAAATGAATGTTTATAATGTGTGATCAACCCTTGGAACATTCTTTTATCACACAATTTCTAATATGGATGAGCTTTGTCTTTAGGTTACGACCAAAGTGTGTGAATGTAAATCTCATTTTCAAATGCAAGCTGTTTACTACAAAACCAAGTGAAGGCGGCTGGTCATGAAGAGCCTTTTAGGCTACCATTTATTTGCTCTTTTGTTTACACCCCACTAATTTTATATAACCTATAAGTCTTAAATAATGTTCAATTTAACCTAGTTTGTCTATAAACCTAACAAAAATAGCAGATCAAGGATTCATATACTTCTTTATCACTCCTCAGAGCTGAGCCTGTATTTTGAAAATCACTTTAATTTTGCTCTTATTAAAAACAATTACAATTGCTTGCATTAAGTTATCATGTTAGTAATAATGCAATATATATGCTTATCTTAGATCTGTCAACACTCTTCTTTCTTTTTTTAAAGTTCAGTGATAAAGTTTGAGGAGTTGCCACAGCTGAGCTCCAGCTTTTAATGGCGTAAAATAAGGCAGGTTAGTTTAGAAAAACTATTAGGTAAGTGAAGTAAGACTCTTGTTGCAAAAAGACTGATAAACTTGAAGTTATTGTCACAATAATGTCATATTATATTAGCAGGTTCTGGAATATGTTTCTTAACAGTCAACTTTATATGTGTTGACTGTGTATCATCTCTGTCCACTAACCTTTTCAGAGCATAGAAGCATACATTAAGCACAGAGCTACCTCTGCCCACAACTCGGTTCATTTTTTCTAGTTTTGTTTCATTTTAAAGAAAAAAATCTTAATTATGGGACTTCCATAATATGCAAAGCTGATCTGTTTGTGTTTCAGTGTGAATAGAATTCTGGATTAAGGGTATATCTGAATTGTCTCTTTTCAGTATATTAATCTTGTTTAACATACTTTTGCTGTAACATATGTACTTAATGGTATAATACACATGTACTTAATGGTATAATACACAATATACTGTCTAATGTGAAGGAACTTCAGTTTTCCAAACATAATTGCAGATTGATTTAAAACTTTTCTTCAAAAGCACATATTTTCCAGTTTCCATTATAGAAACTGCTATGAAGAACAGAAAAGGAATATGACATACGACAAAAACGGAAGCCCCAAATCCTGAAGTTGGCTGTGTCTAGGTTGCTTTTAATAAAACTGTGAAAGCATATTGTTTTAATAAATAAAATATATATTAACTGGAATAATTGTCTCAGCAGAAATACTGTGTTAAATTTAAGGATGACCATATATTGTTTTTAAGGTATTGACAGTTCATTAGTATGGTACGCTTTCATACCTTCACATCATTCACAGTGAAAGTGGTAACAGAACACACACACAAATTGTGGACATGTTCTCAATATGCCATGAAATGTGATCTTTTTGAACATTTCCTTTGACTTTTCAAATCAGCATCAGTACTTGATGAAAACTCAGCTGACCAGTGGCTTAGGTTCAAAACTACTACAACAACAAAAAAGAAGAAATCCCTTGGGAAGATATTGTAGGTTTTAATATATATGTGTGTATTATAAAACTTAATAAATCATGAATAAGATATTTGACCAGTTCAAATGTAATAGGAAGCCACGGTTTCCTGCAAGATGCATAAGCCTATTAAGCCTCAGGTTCATGTGTTCCCCTTTAACAAATGAGGTTGGAAGCATGTAACCCAACTTTGGATGGAACTGGTTTTAAAACTCTTTAATTAGTTCAAACAAACTAAACTCAGACTGGATCCCAGAGTTTAAAGAAACCTCATCATAACCATGAAAATGGAGAGAGGTGAGGGAAAACACATGAGCCCCGGTGTTCGACATGGTTGCTGCACGTTTCCTGTTGCATTTGAAATGGGCCGTTGTGAATTTCACTGCTGAAAAACAGCTTTTTATTCCATATGCTGCCTTTTTTATGTGAAACACCACAGTCGTGAAGGAGTGAAATGGTGGTTTCTGCCATTCTGCTTTTAAAAACTACTTTGAAGATATGATGTTATCTTACAAAATAAGCACAGGATAATAATAATGTCTGCTGTAAGCAATCCAAATAAAAGCATCTAAAATGTGTCTCTGGTTTTAAAGAAGTATGGAGAGCTCAAGGTAGCCTCCGAATGGATGAACCATTTTGCTTATTTTTAGAAAAATATTAGACATGAATATCAAGCACTACATTGTGGATAAATTAAAAAAACAATTCTCCTGGCCCATGCAAAAATGTCACTGTACTTCCCTATTCTCTGTGTGTAAGTTTATGCAACAATCCATCTAGGGACATACCTATACAGGCATGTTTTGCACGTCACGGTAAGCCAAATTATGCCTTACTAAGAACATACCTTTGTTTTCCCCTGGTCTTTTAAAACTCCTGTGCAGTGCTAAAGCTTAGCCAAGGTTTGGCTTAGGATGTCATCAGAGCATGGGCTCCTGGTTAAGCAGTCTCCTCTCCACACTAACCAAAAGTTGTAGCCAAGGTATGCAGTGTGTGATTAGCACACTGAGAGAGCTTAACCACAAGTCCAGCTTCAGGTGACATGCTAAGGCAAATCTTGGCTTAGCTCACCACTGTGCAAGAGTAAAAATACATGTTTGTTTACGGACTGGGCAGGAGCAAAGAAACTTTGTGTGGTCCCAGTATAAACCACAGTTTGGCTTACTGTGATAGGAGCATGGAAGCTGCCTTATAGGTTCCTCTAGCTCACTGACTGGCAGTGGTCCTTCCCAGCCATACCTGGACATTGTACATGGGACTTCTGCATGCACATGGTGATGACGTGCAGAAAAGGCCATAGAAACTGCCTTCAGTGTGCACTTTCATACCCTCGGTGTGGAAACTACACAACAAATGCACTGTGCATACTGTACTGTTGTGTCATTACAAAACCCCTACCTATGATGCTCCTCCAGTTTTTCTACAGTGTGTACCGGTTCTGTGGCAGATGATCTGGAAGGTATTCTCTGTGGGTAGGAATTCTGAATCAAGATAGGCAAAACTGAGAGGCATTGTTTTGACTTTGCAACTCAGCCTGTAGTTCGGCTGACTAGAAATAGCTCAAAATCTATGATTAAGTCTAGTGATCAATACATCAGGTTTCTTTCACCATTTTTTTGTATTTTTATTAAAGATTTTCTTGATTTACAGAAGTATGTGTAATGTCTCTCTCTTGTATTTTTACAAATCAGTTTCTCCATGGTGTACTTCTAATGTCAGTCATAAAATAGTTAAAATAAAGAGGCAATGCCAACCTAATGAGTCTGTAGCCAGTTCTATCTAGTTAACTCTCATCAGCTGCAGCCAGTGTATTCAAGGGCCAGGGACGATGGGAGCTGTAATCTAACAACACCTGAAGGTCCACAGGTGAGCCAGCTTTGTCTCATTCAGGTGTTTTAAGCCCAGTTTGCCAACGACTTTCAACTCTCCATACAGACAATGGGACTAGGGAGTGGACACAGAGAAACCAGTCGACATGGGTACGGTATGTCCATTTAGCAATATGCAGAGAGTAATGAGACTAAATGCCGGCTTATTTTAAGGGATATTTGAGGAAGCACCTGATCCATAGAAATTTAACAATGCCCCTTATTTCAGAAAGCCCTACCTCCTTTTGGGGGGGGGCGGGACTCCCTGGAACAAGCATTGCGGTTCCACGAAGGTGGATCACACGCGGGAATCGAACAAGGCTCAAGTAGCGTCCTTTCCCCCCCCGAATGATCTATTATTAGGCGAGGCTTAAGGGTGGGGCCGGAGAGAGAGAAAGCCTGGTTTAGAAAGTGGGGGAAAGCGAGCGAGCGATCGCGCCTCGACCTCCACGGAGCCTGTTCCCTCCCTTCTCAACTTGAGGCTGCCGGGTTGCAGGGAGAGAGCGAGCATGTGATCGCATTGGCTCGCCTTGCCATGGTGTGGCAGCAGCGCGGGCAGCAATGGAGGCGGCTTAAGGGACGAGGCTGGGCGGCTGCTGCTGCTGCTGGCTGGCTAGACCGCAGATGGGAAAGCCCGACCCAATTTCTCGTCGCCAAATCCAGGTAGGGCATTCGCATCCCTCCCCCCTTTTGCCTTCTTTCTCTTCTCTTGCGCGTATTTACGCATAAAAGCATTGTTCAGAAGCCGCCGAGGCGTGGGTTTGAATCCTGCCGTCTGCTTTGCGTTTCCCTGACCTTGTCGCTTTCAGGCGTTCGCACCTCTTGTTCCGTTAACCCCCCAAATCCATTCTTGGTTTTTTGCGGGGGGACTCCGCGCCTGTCTATTGTTAGACTGCAGGCTGCTATTTCCTTGTGTGGGTCTGTGTTTGCGTGGAAGGCTGGCTGTGCAGGCTGCCAGTCAACCTAGAGGATGTGTCTGCTTTCTGAAAACAGGGTATTTCTTGAGCATCAATGAAAGGCATCTGTGATGAACGTACACATTGGCAGCTCTCCTAAAAGGATTAAATAAAAGCAGAGCTATGCATGTTGGCAAGGGTTGCTTTGGCAGTACTTTCATACCCTATAGATTTCAGTGTGCACTGACTTTTGAATTTCTTCCCATTTTTTATTTTAATCCCTTGGGTTAGTGTTTTCTTTGATTCTTGCATTAATTTTCCCGGAGGCAAGAGAGAAAGGGATGACTTTTGTTTGCTTGCTACATCTCCCACAAAGCTCCAGAGCTGCATTGCTTTGTCTAACCTTCTCTAAGGCCATTTATCATGGAACTCCCGTCACCATATTTTAATGAGCTGTGAAATCTGCTAGTTATCATGGTTGAAAGACAGAAGGTTTCGTTTCCTGCGAACCCACCACCCACCCAATAACTAGATCAAGTGCCCTAAAGGTTACACTATCCGGAATGAGACGTCTGTTTTCCGTCAAGGCTTTTCATTCATAATATTATTATTAATTTTTTTGCAGAAAAAACCTTGACAGACTATAAGGGGACAATCCTAAACATGTTTACACCAGGAGCATGTCCCACTGAGCTCAGTGAGTAAATTTACTCCCTGGTAAATTGGTTTTAGGATTGCCCTTACTCTCACTACTTCTTTTCTCCAGACAACTGGAAAGTCTGAATTGCACAAATGCTGCTGTTTCAAAGAAGCAGGTGATCAAGGTCAGAATCCTTTGCAAATTCATGGTTTTCTTAAGAACTGTGCAAGCGGTCTTCGGGATTTAAGAAATATTCCATTTTTTGCGCTCATCTTCCCAAGAGGGTTAAAGGAAAACTAGAAGCCACAACCGTACATGTTGAAATTTTAATATGGTTAACAATAGTGCGGCTGAAATTGAGATGCTGGGGGGAGGGGAAGAGGTTAGTAGTAGAGAGAAGGGAAGCATGCCCAGAGTACAAGGAGTACTCTAAAGCCCATTTTTCGTTTGTCTCCCTTCTCAAAAGAAGTAGCTCCGTGACGATATCAGTAATGTCTGTGTGTTTTAGGGGGTTGATACGAGAACGGAAGCAGAATCTTTATACAATAAATCCAATTTGCAATAAATATTCAGGAACGCAGTAAGCAAGCTGAGTAGAGTGCAAATCTTAAAAAAAAACAAACACCTAAATTTCACAGGAAAGTTTATTAGAGCTATCAAAAATGTTCACTTAACGTGTGACATTTTTGCTTGTCCTAATAAAAAGTATTGTTGCGCTGTAAGAATAGCATTCACATTACTGCAAAAAAAGGAAAAGGGTAGTATATTTCACTAGGTGTTACTCAGCTAATTTGGTGGTGGGGAAAATAAACAGGCTGCAGAAAATCATTAAGAAATGAATACTTGTAGCTCAAGGAATGCAAGAGCAGACTCAAGATCCATTTAATCTGCCATCTTGCTTCCACCTGTGGCGATGGTGCCTCCCCTAGCATTTGCTTAGGAAGAACTGGTATTGCTGGTGTTGAGCCATAATGGTACACACCCATCTTGCCAAACCTCCCCTCCAGTATTACTGTGATGAGCCACCGCTGCACCACCAGGCCTCCGAGCAATGTTAAGCAATTATGTAGTATTGTTTTTAGAGGAATTGAGGTGAGCAGGGGATTGGCACTCCTGGGTTGCCAGGTGATGGCTGCCATTTATTTTGCCCATAAGGTCCCTCCTATTGGTGTTGCATCATCTAGCTCTACAATATACCCTTTTTCGATATGGAATGGCTAAAACTGTACCCATTATTCCAAATGCAGACTGGCATATATTGATAGATCTGCAGTAAATTACTGGCTATCTTGTGCATTACACTACTTGTAGTTTTCAATTCCTTTATGTTAATCCTAAAATTTGCGTTTTTTGCAAACACCAGACACATACATCGGATTGGCTTTTTCACTGCAGGATCCACCGCAACCCCAATATATTTTTCCTAGATAGTAACTGCCAGGTTAGATACAGTCAATGCATGTGAGGTTAGGGATTTATCTGAATCACTTTACACTTCACAGTGCAAATCTTATACTTGGATACGCGGAAGTCATTCTCACTGAGTTCAGTGAGACTTTCTCCCAAGTAAGTTGGGTTAAGGTTGCAGGCTGAACATACCTTGAACAACAACAACAACAACACTTTTATTATTTATACCCTACTCTGAGCGGCTCCCAGCAAAATATTAAAAACATGATAAAACATGAAACATAAAAAAAACTTACCTAAACAGGGCTGCCTTCAGATGTTTTCTAAAAGTCAGGTAGTTGTTTATTTCCTTGACATCTGATAGATGTTAGGGTGGACGCCATTACTGAGAAGGCCCTCTGCCTGGTTCCCTGTAACCTCACTTCTCGCAGCAAGGGAACCACCAGAAGGCCCTCAGAGCTGGACCTCAGCGTCAAGACTGAATGATGGGGGTGGAGACGCTCCTTCAGGTATCCTGAGCCGGGGTTGTTTTGGGCTTTAAACATCAGCACCAACACTTTGACTTGTGCCCGGAAACGTACTGGGAGCCAATGTAGGTCCTTCAGAAACGGTGTTATGTGGTCTCAGCGGCCAATCCCAGTCACCAGTCTAGCTGCCGTATTCTGGATTAGTTGTAGTTTCCTGGTCACCTTCAAAGGTAGCCCCACATAGAGCGCATTGCAGTAGTCCAAGCGGGAGATAACCAGAGCATGCTCCACTCTGGCAAGACAGTCTATAGGCAGGTAGGGTCTCAGCCTGCTTACCAGATGGAACAGGTAGACAGCTGCCTCGGACACAGAATTGACCTGTGCCTCCATGGACAGCTGTGAGAATCTCTTGTTCTGTTTAGATGTTGATTCACCAAGATCTAAGAAATTTTTTGGTGGTTGTGGGAGGAGAGTTCTTCAGTCTGATTGGATTTTCTCCATCCGTGATGGTAAAGAGCTACCTCACTGTTCACTTGACTCACTTTGCTTGGCTACACCACTGGCCTCCCCTGACTTCCCAAAGCAGATCCTTCAGGGAATCACACCGTTGATTTCCCTTCACTGTGAGAACTGGCTATTTGCTCTAAACTTTCCTCTCCCTTTTCTTTACCCAGCAGTCAGAGCAGTCTTGATTGTGTACATTCAACTTGGCATTTTAAAAGGGAAGAAAAGACAGCCCCAGAGTTCAGGTTTCTCAATGCGGGTCTGATGTACCTGATTCTGCTGAATTACAAAATAGGGCTATTATTCAAACGTGTCATTACAGCTCTATAAGGTCACCTCAGTGGACACAGCAAAGGCTACAGCAGTATAGGCATTAGTTTATGAAAGAAGGGTGATTTCTAGTGTTTCCCGTGTAATTGATTTTTATTTCTTTAGTTATTGCATCTTATGAAAGCTCTCTTATTCTCTCATTTGGGAAGACAAACGGAGGCTGAGAGAGAAGTGACTTGAAAGGGAGCATTGCTCTTCCCTGGTCTTTTTTACTCTTGCACCATGCTGAACTAAGTCAAAGTTTGGTTTAGTATGTCATCTGAATGTGGGCTCATGGTTAAGCACTCTCATCATTCACCACAAGCTGTAGCCAGCAAGGAAGCCCAAGTTTGGATGACACACTAAGCCTAACCTTGGCTTAGCTCAGTGTGTTATTAGAATAAAAAAGACTGAGGGGGGGGGAAGGGGAGAAAATGCCTGCAAGTGTCTCTCCAAGAACATGTTTGCATGTTCTCAGTAAGCCACAGTTTAGTTTAGCCTTGCTGCAAACCAGGCCAACACAGTTAGCTTTTAGTACAGTGGTACCTCGGGTTACAGATGCTTCAGATTACAGACGCTTCAGGTTACAGACTCCACTAACCCAGAAATAGTACCTCGGGTTAAGAACTTTGCTTCAGGATGAGAACAGAAATTGCGCGGCGACAGCGGGAGGCCCCATTAGCGAAAGTGGTACCTCAGGTTAAGAACAGTTTCATGTTAAGAACAGACCTCCGGAACAAATCAAGTTCTTAACCTGAGGTACCACTGTATATTTTTATTCATTCTGTTGATTTTTCCCAAGTTTGTCTTAATTGCTGCTTCTGTGGTTTTATTTTTGCAACGTACTATGCATTATGGTGTTTAATTATTTTGCTATAAGCTGCCCTAAGAGTTTTTACTGAAGAGTGGCATATCATTTTTTTGATATGTGAGGTATTCAATGGGAAATAGTTAAGAAGTGTGACCAAAGCAGTACTGAAATTTCTGATTAGTCTTTTCAGAAGGTAATTTTTAAGAGTGCCATACTGTTAACATCTTTTCTCGTTCTAGTTTGATCTTTATAACCCAGGGATATTAATATAATTCCCATCTCTCTCTCCCCCCGCCCCCTGTTTCTCCGCCTGAGAAGTACACATATCCTCTTACTCTGATGGAAGTGTGGTGTTCCTTGATGACGTAGACATGCTAATTTTCATATTTCTGTAATGGCTTAGCTGGAGGCAAGTTCCCATTGACCTCGGTGGGGCTTGCTGCTGAGTAGACCTGTATGGGATTGCACTTTCTTGCTGTGTTGGTAATGGTGCAGCAAATGAACTTGGCTGCTGACAGTTTGGTTACAGAGCAACTTTCAACAGACAGGCTCAAAGCAGCTCAGTTTAAGGATGCAGTCACAAGAAGAGTCACAGCCAAGGAGTTCACAGTGCAAGCTGTTGACCA